TTATCTATGGATTTGCGGGAAGATGATCAAATAATAATAAATCTATGCTAAAATATAAATTAAGTTGAACATTAGTTTATTTTTTCTGTTCAATCTCCAATATTGTTTATATCTTTGGAGTGCCAAATCATACTTATCTAATAAGATTTTCGCATAATACATGATTCAATCAGTCTCAAATACATATTACATAATAGATATTCATACGATTACTAAAATGTAAAAATATTGTCGCGAATATAACATTCTCTGTCCAAATCATCATCATCATCATCCAAGTGTTACTTTTTTAGAAATTAATCACGAGCAAGATTTAAGATCCGACATATTCAAAATTACGTATCTAATCATGTTGAAATTTGAACCTCGTATTGCACACGATCTCCTATAAGAAAATCCGATCCATTACAAATAATAAAACACATGTTTATTTAGTACAATGTGAGAAGTCTGTTCTATTTTCTAATAAAATGTGTATAAAACGTGTTTGGTTAAAGGTTTTAATTTTTGGTCTATGTTTTAAGTAGTAAAAATTTTAAAAATCTAAAATTATTTGATATAATATAAATGAATATTCATATGATTTTTTTGAATATAAAATTATTATTTTTGTTAAATTTTAAAAATAAAAAAATTAATTTAATGTTTTATTATTATTTTTTTTAAAAAAAATTGATTAATAATAGGTACTCCTGCCCTATCTAAAATCTAAATCAACAAATCTGATCAAAACTAAACTCAATAAAATTATGAATTTGTATATTTTGTGCCAAACCCATAAGTTGATTCTAATGCGGCCTGCTGCTGACTAGTAGATGATCTGTAAGTATCAGACATTAATGTGTAGGGGTCGAGCCATTTGGGCTAACTTATTGGGCCGCAGAGAAAATGGATTTAAGCCCAGCCCAACATAGATCCAAATCTGCTTTAAGCTAACTATATATATAAGCTCCTAGGGTTTGTAAGGTTTGTTCCTCCTCCGAGCCTCACACTGCAGCGGGAAGTGTGCACCGGCGACTCATCGAATCAGGTAATTTGCTTGCCTTCTTATTTCCTTATTTTCATCGTGTATCCCCAAATCGAAGGTTGTTTGGATGTTGTGGTTGTGATGTGAATGACGAGAACTGGAAGCGAGTTTTAAGTTTCCGTCGCGTTTTGTTAGCTGGTTGTGATTCTTATTCTTGTTCTAGTGAATGTAAAGAATGGCGGAAATACCGGGTGTTAGAAGTCATCTCGGTGTAGGCTGTGCAGATTTGCATTGCGAAATAAAAAAGGAAGTGCAGTGCCATTCGGTCGTTTTATATGTTTTGCGTTGCTGGTCATGGGAAAAAGCTTTGCTCTTGTTTAAGTTTAGGCGTGCTTGAATTTTTTGTACGAAAGCTTTGCTGCGGAGCCTAGTAGTCCATTTGTAGGATTTCCATCAGAATAAAGAGCAAGAATGATTTTTTACAACTTCCTTTTGCCCGTGTAATTTTGCAGTCCTGCAAAGAAGAAAGTATGTTGATAGACGTTTTTTCTTATTTATATTTTTTTTTTCACGATTCAAGAATCCGGCTTATTTAGTGGAAACATTTTAATTAAAATAATCTGGAATAAACTGTGTCTATATGCTGTACTTTGTCTGCTGCAGAGAGCTAGTGGTGTATGGACCATTAATAATTTTTTACTTGATGTTCTTATACCCTTTCATGATATAAAATTCAGTCTTAATGATGGTTGCAATTTTGATGGAGTATAAATTGTTTGATTTAGGTAGCACATTGTTGTTTTAATGCTATACTGTGATTTGATATTTTAGTTTGATGGTTATTGATCAGAGATGGCCGAGGTTGCTGAAGTAAAAGCCATAGTTCCAGAGTCAGTTTTGAAGAAGCAGAAGAGGTCAGAGGAATGGGCCCTTGCAAAGGCCAAAGAACTCGAGGAAGCCAAGAAAAAGAAGGCTGACACCAGGAAGTTGATCTGTCAAAGAGCAAAACATTATGCAAAGGAGTATGCTGAACAGGTATACAGAATTGTTTTTGTTTCAATTTAAATTAGGATCTGATTACTACTTGAGTCTATTTTTTACAATTTCATTGTTTGTTGTTGTATAGGAGAGGGAGTTGATTCAATTGAAGCGGGAAGCCAGATTGAAGGGTGGCTTTTATGTGAACCCTGAAGCTAAGCTTTTGTTCATTATTAGGATCCGGGGGTAGGCCCATTCTATGCTTCTGATGATATCTTCATCTTTTATTTAGAATTTCATTAATGTGCCGCATTCATTTTCTTCCAGTATTAATGCTATGCACCCAACAACCAAGAAGATTCTGCAGCTTCTGAGGCTGCGTCAGGTACTTATCAGTGTTTCATTTTAAGAGTTATGCTTCTTTCATACATTCTTTCTAAATCTAGTTGTTACGAGCGTATGGATTCACCACTTGTGTACTTTGAATTTATTAACCATTTAGCTAGAAAGGTCCGTTGTATAAGTTAAATCATACTCGAAAAGATGTTTTTTGCACCCCTTTTTTTTTTGGGTTGAAGAGTTTAAAACTGAACGTGGGCTTCTCCTTCTTGAAGCTGCTCACTGTGATACGCCTTCATAATTTACATTCTAAAATTTGTTTTCGTATCTTTATTTTTATTTTATTCTAAGTACACATCTTCTGTTTTCACTCCTTTTGACTGTTTTCATTGGGCATTCATGTAGATCTTTAACGGCGTCTTTCTGAAAGTGAACAAAGCTACCATGAATATGCTGCACAGGGTTGAGCCTTATGTTACCTATGGGTAAGCTATATTAATAAATTACCTCAACTATTTTTATAAATATCACTTTTAACAAAAACTCTGATACTGGTGCTTCATAACTTCTAGGTACCCCAACCTTAAAAGTGTCAAGGAGTTGATATACAAAAGGGGCTACGGAAAAGTAAACAAGCAGAGGATTGCATTGACCGACAACTCCATAATTGAGCAGGTTTGATTTTACTAACCCATCCTATACAATAATAGGAATAATTTGTTTTGCGCATCCCAATTCTCATCCCTTCATTTTTTTATAGTCTTTGGGCAAGAATGAGATAATTTGCATAGAAGACCTCATTCACGAGATCTTCACCGTTGGTCCTCATTTCAAAGAAGCCAACAACTTCTTGTGGCCATTCCAGCTCAAAGCTCCATTGGGCGGATTGAAGAAGAAGAGGAATCACTATGTTGAAGGCGGCGATGCTGGCAACCGCGAGGATTACATCAACGAGCTCATTAGAAGAATGAACTAATTGTTTCATGAGATACTAAAAAATTTCGACTCTTCTATTAATATTATCATCCATTGGATTTATACAAACTCTGCCAATTAGAGTATTAGCATTTTGATTTCCAAAATACAGGTATATAAACATTTGAATTTAGGTTACAGAAATTTAATGAATCATTCAAATGCGAATTTAATATTGTATCAAAGGGTGTGTATCTGAGAACATAGAATGAGACGTTTAGAGCAAAGGGTGCAGAAAAACTTCTTCTTTGTAATTGAACATGCCGTGAAACAGCCTAATAATCTGACCTGAGCTTCGACATAGACTGCCTGAACTTGACCTCCGCAGCTCGGACACTTGCTGGGTGCTTTTTCTCGTTCTAATTCTGTCTCCTTTTCTTGGTATATATGCAATCTGCACATCGATATCTTCGACCTTCTGCTTCTCCTTTCTTTGTTGGTCTTCTTTATAAACGCCTCTTATAGGTATATATTTACTGATCTACATACAATGCGTTTAAAATGCTTTCTTCAAGATTCAATGGAGGTGTGCTTCTGTGCATATATATATATATGTGTGTATATATGTACCTAAATATCTGGGCTTGGTTGCAGTTGACAATTTGACATCAAGAGTTGAATTCATGCTTGATTTATATACATATATATTGAATCATCAGGAAAAGTCAATTGAATTGGTAGCAGTAAGTGTAGCTAATAGGGGTTTAATTGTACTAGCTTCTTAATGTTGAGTTTTAATAATCCCATCCTAAAATCATCCGTTTTTGTGGGCATCTACTAGTCGAAATTTGTTATAGTCATTAATTTAGATAAATTTAATAATTATGCAGATTGTTAATAATTTTCTCAACAAAATTTAAACTAATTTTCATCCTTGTTGCTATACAATCAAAATTTGAATTTCTTGTATAGTTTGGTTCTTTGAATCCAACGTTAATGTGCTCAAACCCGTGGAAACTTGTGATCTCCAATAGTGTACCACATCCTTGAATTTGGACCCAAAATAGATAATAAAATAATACCTATTTCTGGTAGATATTAAATTGAAGGGTTTGCCATGTAGCTACGATATTATCGTGAATGTCGACGTTTTATCCGTTTTGGGAAATTTATAATATTTATATAAAGCTTTAATTATTCAATATTGGCACATAAATATATGTGTATATATATATATATATGTATGTATGTATATTCATTCATTTGTGTGCAAATTAAATTCTAACTGAAACGAGGAAAGAATGTGAGATGCAGAATTAGATTAGGTATTATTAGGATTTAGGGATATATATATATTTCCGTCCAAGCGGTGCATGAATTTCTACATGCAACGTAACAGCTGTCGTCATCATCGTCCCAAATTAGTCGTCAATTTTGACCACACGGTCGTTGAACATATCTCATTGATATAGCGTTACCAAGAAAATACAAAATAAAATAAAATTATAACACATGATTTTTATAACCACTACAAAAAATCGAATTTGCCTTCTCTGAACCGGTGGATGTGCAAACAGATGAGGAAAATGTTAAAACATACTCGATTTCCTAGTAAACGGAAGCACAATCAGAGGGAAATGAAGAAAGAGAGGGAAATTAAAAAATGCCGCACCGGATACTCCAGCGGGCGGCGGCGGCGCAACTTAGAAGAAAAGGAAAGAAAAAAGAGAAGAGGGGGAGAAAGTAACGAAGAAAGAAAGAAGAAAGTGGGGTGGGCAAGGTGGGTGACGGCGGCGCGTGAATTGGATTGTTGGAGTGGTTATGCTTCTTATTTGATTTGGTAACAATTTATTTATTTATTTTTTTAATAATTATATTATCTATTTAATATTACATATATTTTTTTAATTTACATAAATATAAAAGGGATAAATAATTATGATTTATATATAATATTTTATATTTAAAATTTATTTTATTTAAAATAATCTCACTTAAATATTCTTATATATTTATTTATATGGCAAATGGCCCAAACTGCCCAGTGAATAATTCTCTATTGTTAACCATTGTCTTCAAAAGCCCATAAAGTTCAAAGTCATTAAACTATTAATGGATACGTTTGATTGTGATTTCATAACATTCATTTATTTACAAAATATTTAAAATTCATAAAAATAAAAAAATTTATAATTTTTTTATAATTTTCAATAGTCAATTATAAAAGTTCAAAATATTTCAAATATTGGGTGTGTTTGTTCGAAAGATTTGCAAAGATTTATACTCCCTCTGTCCCAAGCACCCTTGCAACATTTCTTTTTTGATATATCCCAAACACTCTGCAATATTTCCAAAATAGAAAATAATTAATTATACTTAATCTCTATACTACACTTTATCCTCTCACATCATCCAAATAAAAAAAATAAAACATATATTTATCTCTCTTTCACATCACCTAATTTCTAAATTATCCTACTTAATAGTACTCACCTAAAAACCGGTGCCAAAAGTAGAAAATATAGACAAATTACGTGAGATAGACGAAAATAAAAAATATTGACAAATTATGTGGGACAGAGAGAGTATTTAAAAATCACATTAGTATGACAATATTAACTTATATCGTATCAAATGATTATTCAAAATTAAATTTTAATTATTAAAAAAATTCAAACAAAAAAATCAAACCTACAAATAAACATTGGTCTAGCATTTCTTTTAAAAAATACTTATCAAATGCCAATTTTTTATTTAAAATATCATATTCATTGCCTATTTATTATATATCAAACATTTTTTTATATTCTATTTTCTTTTTTTTATTTTCATATTTCTTAATCAACTTACAAAACCAAAATATTTTTCAAAACATATTTCTTACCGTAATTTTAATATAGAAAGCATTTAATATTATGACATATAAGCACCCTTTACTTGATTTCAAATTCTTTACTTCACTATTTTTTTATAACTTTTTATAAATTATACTCCCTCCGTTTCAATACAATAGTCTTGTTTACCATTTTTGTCTGTCCCAAAACAATAGTCTTATTTTCATAAATAACCATATCATCGTAAAATTATTCATATTTTTTCATTTTTATTACACAATTGTCACTGTTTTTTTACACTAATACATTCGCAGGACCAAAAAAGTCTTTTATCTATATTTTTTACTAACTATGAATATAATATTAATATTATTTAAATATCGTGCCCAACCCAATTAAGACTGTAGTTTTAGAACGGAAAGAGTACAATTATTTATGTACACTAAATATAAAATTCAAATTACTATTCATACCTAAAAAAAATTATAATAAAAACTCAAACAAACACATAATAGCTTGGTACTCAGACAAAAAAAATACTGATATAAACACATATATATATCAACACTTTATATTATTAATTATTATATCAAAATTAAATAATAATAATAATAATAATAATAACAATAATAATAATAATAATAATAATAATTTGAAATCAGATGATTACTATAATTATTCATTTAAATAGAATTATTCCTTTAAATGAATCTTACATATCTTTCTTGCTATTCATGGATTTGTTTGGTTTGTATTTCAACTTACTATATTTACTATTCGTTTGTATGGTTTTAATAAAATATATTATTTATTTTCATAAAATATTATTTAAATTTAAATTTAAATTCAAATAAAAAAAATATAGTAAATTTTAATTTCATAATTCTGAATGTTGTGCAGTATCTTAAAACCTAAAGGTTTAGTAATTATTCCCAAGGAAGAAGACGACAGTGGCCTACTCCCATGTTATCCCAACTATTCTAGCACTTCCCTTTTCAACAAGGTATATATTTTGGGTATAAAATATTTAGGATTTATTCTTTTTAAAAAAAAAACAAAACAATATTAAATAATTATTATTTTATATTATTTACAGAATTTTCTATTTAAAATAAAAAAATTATAATATTATTTTAAACTATATGACAAAACAAACATACTCTTAATTAAATTACATATCTCCGTTCACCAATAGAACAAGTTTAGTCATAATTCTTAAGTAGTATTAGTGAAAAAAAAACTAACAAATTTTAATATATGTACATACAACAATTATACATTATCAAAAAAATAAAATCAATAATTCAATTAAAAGAACTAAACATTTCATTTATTATACTCCTTCCGTCTCATATCTATATATCTATTTGCTTTTTGCACAAAGTTTTAAAAATATTAGTATTATATTGGGATAAAGTAGAAATAAATGTAAAAAGACTAAATTAACCATATTAGTATTGTTCCGTCTCATATCTATATATCTATTTGCTTTTTGCACAAAGTTTTAAAAATATTAGTATTATATTGGGATAAAGTAGAAATAAATGTAAAAAGACTAAATTAACCATATTAGTATTGTATGATACAAAGGTAATGACATTTGTGTAATATATTGTAAATTGGAAGGATATTTGTAACGTTAGGTAGATAATACAATTACTGAAAAAAATGAAATAAATACTTTGTCATGGGACGGACCAAAATAGAAAAATAGATAGATTGTTAAGAGACGGAGGAAGTATTACTGAATTATTTTTTATTTATTTTTATATATAACACTTAAAACTAAACACAAACAGTTTAATACTCAGATTTTTGTAGATCAACTGGTGAGACAGTTAAGATTTTTAATAAAAAATATATAATTTAGTTTCTAAACAATATGAAAAATAAATTCAAAATATAAGTAAAGAACCTTTAATTGATGGGTTTTATTTTGTTACTATTTTAAATTCAAATCAATATTATTTATCAACATAATTTTTACATTCAAAACATTATATCAACACCTATTTATATCACATCATACAACTATTCAAATTTAAAATTTTACTATTCAGATCTCAACTCAAAATTCATGCTCTAAACAAAACAAAGACACCTAAATAAAAGTGAGAGAGCACGTTTTAAAGAAGGCCGCAGTCAATCACGACCGCGAGCTAAAGTAATGAGATTCAGTTGAATTTACACAATTTACTTGTTTGTTTGGAGCTTTTGAATTTTGAGTTGAGATTTGAATAGTTGTATGATACGATATAAATAGGGATTGATGTGATGTTTTGAAAGTAAAATTTATTTTTAGTATAATATAAAAAAAATATGATGAATAGTGTATTTAAAATCCAATCCTCAAACAAACACTCTCAAAAAATACTCTCTCAGTCTAATTTCTAATTTCTACTATCCTAATATATATTTGCATAATTTTTTTAAGTAATTGTCTTTTTGTTATGAATTAACAAATCTGTCCTTAATTGTACGGGAGAAATTAAAAGTAATAAATAAATTAAGGATAAAAAAATAAAAATTTGTGTTTAAAAAATAAAATATGACAATAGTTTTTTAATGTCCCAAATAAAAAAGTGGACATTAATTCGTGGATGGAGAAAGTAATATAATATTCATTTAGGGTGTGTTTGTTTGAGAGATTGGATTTTTTTTCTACTATTCATCCAATTTTTTTTTCCAAAAATTTTAGATTTTCAGATCAGAATGCTCACCCCTAACTATCATCAAAATTTACACTCATTTTAAGAGTACAAATTTTAAGTAAATAAAAATATAAAAAGTATTCTTTCAGAGTACAGAAAAAAAAATGATATTTTACTAAAAAGCCAAGAATATTTTTTTACCAAAAAGAAGGCATAAATTTTAATGATAGTGTATTTTTTTATTATCCTACCAAGCAACGCAAACATATTTTTACGTTAGTAAAGTGCCTACATTAATGAAAAAATGGACACAAATGAACATTCAAAATAAGAGGTGAACATGACAAAAATATAAGTCAAATCCAATTTCAGCATATCACAAACTCAATTCTGTACAAAACTAAATATTTTACCAAATATTATAAATAATATCAGTAGACACTAAAAAATATATGTCTAAAATCAATTAAATATCATGTATTTTGGAAGAAAATAAAATTCCAATAAAATAAATATATGGTATTTAATTATGCACATATGTTAATTTTTGTACAATAAATATCAACCATTAATGCAAAATCTGCTTAAAATGGAAGATATCGTACAAATATTACGTGCATAAATAGAGCCATAATAAATTTGGCAGCAAAATAAATTAATCTTGTCAATAAAGGAAGTATATAAATTAATATCTTCCAAACAAGGCAATGATATAAAGATCTTGTCAATAAAGGAAGCATATAAATTAATATCTTCCAAAAAAGGCAATGATATAAAGATTTTGACGAGAAAGGAAGGTGCATAATCAAATCCGTCAAAAATGGAAAACGGCATCCGATGGAAAAGGAAAGATTATAAAATCTTTCCATCCACGTAGCACCATCCGAAAAGGAAGCCAAAGCCACCCTCCCCTATAAATAGGAGCCTTGGCCAATTCATTTAGACACCGAAGTTCATTTAAAGACTCGCGCAAGGGTAAGTCTCTCTAGACTCTCTGCAATGTTCTTCATTGTTCTTCGTGTCCTTCGAAGCGTTCTTCGTCGAAAAGTCACCGATTTGGACAAATGATCCAATATTGGTTGACGAATCGATGAAGTTAATGTTCTTCGTCGTATGTCCGAGCCGGAGGAAGGATCAAATCTCTCAAAGCCATCGAGGAATCCATCAAAGCCAAGGAAGAGCCTCCAAAGTCGCTCCCAAAGCTTGAAGATGTTCGTCGCGTTCTTCATAAAAGGCGCAAACCAGGCTCTTTTCGATCCAAAAGTCAAAAGGGACACGCCACCAAAAGCGTTATGGAGCACCAAATCCCTCCCTCAAAGATCAAATTCCGTCGGATCATCCAAAGGAGGCATCAATCCAAAGTCGACGATCAAAATCGCTAACACGGATACCGAAGTTTCCTAAAAACCGACGAAGTCAAACCGAAGACCAAAATCCCTTCGGATCAAAGAAGCCACCCAAATCCAAATTGGAAAAATGGATCGACCCGGAGAGAGAATCAAAGGATCCAAATAGAGAATAGGACCCGCATTAAATTTAAATTAAATATAATTTGTACAAATTTTGTGTTTATTAAATATAACACAATTTTTTTGTCTACAATATCATTATAAAATAAAAGATTTTTAGAATAAGTTATTTTTTATCTTTTAATTTACTATATTATTATTTATAAAATATTAAAATATTAAAATTCACGTATAAAAAATAAATAATTATATTTTCGTTAGAATGAAGAGGCAATAATTTTAACATCAAGATAGACAATATAATTAGAAAAAGACAAGAGTACGTTTAGGGTGTGTTTGTTCGAGGGATTGAATTTTAAATCCACTATTCATCTAATTTTTTTTCCCCAAAAACATCAAATCAAACATCTATTTTTTATTTTTTATATTATACTAAAAATCAATTTTACATTTAAAACAATATATCAACAAAGACACCCTAAATAAAAGTGAGAGAGCACGTTTTAAAGAAGGCCGCAGTCAATCACGACTGCGAGCTAAAGTAATGAGATTCAGTTGAATTTACACAATTTACGTGTTTGTTTGGGGCTTTTGAATTTTGAGTTGGGATTTGAATAGTTGTACGATGTGATATAAATTGGGATTGATGTGATATTTTGAATGTAAAAAATTAATTTTTAGTATTATATAAAAAATAAAAAATAGGTGTTTGATTTGATATTTTTTGGGGGGAAAAATAGGATGAATAGTGTATTTAAAATCCAATCCTCAAACAAACACCCCCAAAAAATACTCTCTCAGTCTAATTTCTAATTTCTACTATCCTAAAGTATATTTGCATAATTTTTTAAGTAATTGTCTTTTTGTTATGAATTAACAAATCTGTCCTTAATTGTACAGGAGAAATTAAAAGTAATAAATAAATTAAGGGTAAAAAAATAAAATTTGTGTTTAAAAAATAAAATATGACAATAGTTTTTTAATGTCCCAAATAAAAAAGTAGGACATTAGTTCGTGGATGGAGAAAGTAATATAATATTCATTTAGGGTGTGTTTTTGTTTGAGGGATTGGATTTTTTTTCTACTATTAATCCAATTTTTTTCCCCAAAAACATCAAATCAAACACCTCTTTTTCATTTTTTATATTATACTAAAAATCAATTTTACATTCAAAACATCACATCAACACCTATTTATACCACATAATACAACTATTCAAATTCAAAATTTTTACTATTCAAATTCCAAATTAAAATCCAAACCTCCAAACAAACACACCCTAAAGTCTCCATGTTGTACAGTAAACACAAGAATTTAAATAAAATAATAAAATAATTTAATTAATATAATAAATTATAAATTATAAAATTTAAAATATAACTAAAATTAATAATTAATATTTAAAAAAAAAAAACAAAATATGTACAACGGCCAACAAAAATAAAAATAATTGGCACATTATTTTCCACAACAAAAGATGTCAAAAGGGAGTACTTATTTATCAAAGATCTCTCTCTGTCGGGTGGAATTAAACTATGTTATGTAAAAAATCATTTATTCGTGCAAAATAATATTTCATCAGTCCTAATACAATAGTTTTGTTTATATTTTTGTCCGTTCCAAAACAATAACCTTATTTTCATAAATACTTATATCACCGTAAAATTATTCTTACTTTTTCATTATTACTAGACAAATATCACTACTTTTTATACTAATACATTCTTACTTTTTTATTATTATTATACAAATATCACTACTTTTTATACTAATACACTCACAAGGACAAAAAAAATCTTTTATTCATATTTTTTACCGACTATCAATATAATATGAATACCTTTTACATATCGTACCCAACTCAAATAAAATCA